CAACAGCTCCCGTTTTTTTAATTTAATATGATATATATCCATTAAATTCCCAGTTTCCTTAAAAAAATCTTGATATCCTTTTAAAAGTTTGGTAACTTTTCATTAGAATCAGGATTTACTGTACAAATCCTTTGTATTAGGTTTAATTTTTGCAATGTAGGTAACCCTAAAATAGCTGGAACATTTTATCACCAACTACACTTGAAATTCTATTCATCCTTGTTCCCCTTTTGATGTTTCACATAATAATTTACATTTTCCAACTACATCAATTGTAGTACCATTGTAATTATTTAAAGTGACTTTTGATTTAGTCAAACATTTATCTCTTAAATTTAATTGTTTATATTTAGGCAATGGTAACACTGAGCTCCAGTATCCAACTTAAATAAATATTTAGATACGTTTACTTTTCAAACCATTCTGTTCTATTTTTAGAAAATGGATTTGTATCTTCTACTGACCCTAAAATATATTCATTACCATTATTATGCAACTTGTGCTCTAAATTATTCTGTACAACATTAACATTTTTACGAGTGCAAATTTTTAGATTTTTTTTTTTTTTCGCAGTGCAAGCAAATCTTATAATAAGCAGGACAGTTGTATAACCTTAATAACAGTTCCACATTTTCTACACGGTTTTGACTACTATACACATTTCTTTGATACTCTGAAGATGATTTACCACTTTGTTGCTTTTGTTTTACATGATATTTTTTCTTACAAAACTGGCCTTTTTTCCCTCTGAAGGTGGAAGTTTATTCAGTTGGATCACTTCTATTTTGTTTTCTGAAGTTCTGCTAATTCAGAAGCTTTACACATTTTAATACATTTCTCCAATGTTAACTGATCTTCCCTTAATAGTCTGTCTTTGAGATTTTTATTTAGAATTCCACTTACTATTCTATCTCTTGTTAAACTGTCTTTTAATTCTGTAAATCCACAGTTGCTACTTAATTTCTTTAAATCTGTTAAAAAATCGTCAAACGATTCACCTACATGTTGTGTTCAACAGAAAATATATGTCTATCAACACTTTCGTTTGCTTTCGGTATGCAATAATTTTTAAACGCTTCAATTACTTTGTCAACATCCTTCTTATCTTCTTCACTTAAATTAAAAGTATTAAACTTTTCAAGTGCTTCTTAACCAATAATATGCAATAAAATAGCCACTTTAGTTTCAGGTGATTTAGTAATACTACCAAATGCTAACATAACAAATTTCAAATTTTTGTTTCCAATTTTTGCTTAAATTACCTTCGAAATTTAGATTACTTGGTGGCTTTAATCCATCCATATTTAATTTAGGACTTTAAATAGTATATAAACCTATTTTTGGCCACTTCAAATAAAAATAACACACTTACCAGCAATGGAAGTTTCGATTTCCCTCTAAACAACTTCCCATAGTGTTTTAGTTTAGACTGTCTTTATCATTATTCGTAAGTGACACTGCATGGTTCTTTAAAAGAGATTTTCTTTTTAATCTATTGCCGACTACGCCATGTATTATTTTTATACGTTAGATATGTGCTCAGTGATGATTACAAGATGTACTCAAACATTGCTTATTCTACATTGATACTCTACTATTCTATCTTACAGTTATGATTAATAATAATAATAGTTACAGTTACTTATACAGTACAAAGTCCGAAATCCATACATCCATTATCCAGAATGATCTAAAATCAGGACCTCAAAATCACCAACAACATTTTCCTCATAGGCTTTATGCATGCGCATTTGATTTCCCCCGCTCTGTGCATAATAAAATATCTGGAGAGTCCCGATTCTTAATTTCAACACTAAATAAAATACCTTATTATTGAAGAAACAATCATTTTAGCATAAATTTGTATGATGAGTAATTTGACTGCGTTGCTGCGTATCTGCTTGGCACATCTCAAACCGAAACATTCCACATAGATAATCATTGATCTGACGCCAACTTGGTGAATCATTATTTATTATACTTTCCTTTTATCACCGCATGTTTATCAACACATGACAACTTGAGTAATGACTCATGTAGAGATACCTAAACAATTTTTTATGTTAGTGTAATTGAATAATAAAGGAGTAAGGTAACCTTCTATGTTGGCATTATGCTTGGCGATGATTATTTAATGATAAAATGTTAAATGCACGTTTACGAGGAATTACCAAAAATTTTTTCGATGTTAAAAACAGATTTTGTTGATGATGCTCATAGACCCAAAGATTACATTTAAGGCTATTTGAATTAACAATAACTTGTTTGTTATTCACATGAACCCAAAACCAGTGCCAGGGCTCATATGGCCACGACGAGTCGCAGAATTTAAGACCCACAGAGACTGCATCAGGCGATAAGATATCTAGCACAAGCCATCAATAAGGCTTAAGTATATGTAGGAATTTATTTATTCAGAACTCTGATAAGCATTTAGCATGTGCAAGAAATAGACATTAGTATAAAAAATAACTAAACTAATACAAGTCAGGCTTAATTGTCTCAGTGCACGATAGAAGCAAGATAAAATTTAACGGAACAACTTGTCATTAGTTGCCAAGCTTATGATGCATAGCCAAATGTGTATAGTGAAGGTTAGTTACATTTGATGATAGATAGCCACTAATTTTAACGGTTTTCGGATATCTCAAAACAAAGGTGAAATTTTCCAATTAATGGATTTTGTAAGGAAATGTGGAGAAGCGATAATAAATGAAGATGACATAAAAGAAGTTTTTCATTGTGATGACAATGCTTCTCAATCATCAATCAATTAATGAATAGCAAAATCTGTAGTATGGCTCTAGATCCAGAAAATACCACTACCGATAGTGAAGAATATGACAGAGAAGTTACTGAAAACAGGGAAATTTCAATTGACAAGTTAGTCGGAATTCTTGAAACAGCAGTTACAGGAATTCAACAAGAGATTATGTTTGTCTACAGAATTAAAGATAAAGTATTAGCACAAAAAACGAAGCAACTTAAACAACTTACATTGAAAAAAAAGTTAAGCTTTTTTTTTTTTTTTTTTTTTTTTTTTTTTCCTAAATTTTGATACTTTTAGATCATCATTATTTCATAAATTGTGATTTCATATTTTTAATTTTATAATTTCTGCATGTCATCTTACTTATTTGTTACTTAGATTTAGACATAACTTAGATGTAAACTCATGATCTAATATCCGGAAAATCCCAAATACGGAATTGCCGAAGTCCCGACGAGTCCGGATTTCGGACTGTGTACTGTATAACATACATTAAGAAGTTTGTAATGCCAGACTTAAAGGGAGAACTGACATCCTCTGATAAAAGGGAGTGTTGGTAGAACTACACTGGTTGAAATTTCAGCTAAACCCTTATATTTAAGCACAGCATAACTGAACATGAAATAAGCCATTGTCCTCAATAAGTTAAATGGATGAACTACAGTCGGTGTTTATAGATACTAGTAACATATTCTAGCCCTGAAGAATAAGTCTTTTGCTAATCTGAGTTTTATAAGCAGTGAAGATGAGTTTAATAAGCAGCAGTTTTTCTACTGATTAGTATATATTTGCTTTGGTTCCTAGATATTTGAACGTAATAAGAAGCTGATTTTATTAAGCAATAAGTTTACTAACCAGCATATTAGGGTATTATGTATTTAAGTCCTGTGCACATTACAGAAACATTTATTTATAGATACTGGAATTCCTGAACATTTTTTTATTTTTTATTTTTATTTATATTTTGGTGTTTGTGTGTATGTGTGTGTAAAATAAATCACTTAAATTTCTTAACTTTAATTCACTAATCATGAAATTTCTTCTACACTTACTCACTTGCAGGTAGAATTTGATTTAAATTAAATTTTGAGAGTGTGAAATTTCAAGTAATAAGTTTTAAAGGTAAAGCAAGAAATGTTAACTGTGAAAAGTTATGTATGTATAAATAATATGAAAGCCTACGTAATATGTAAAGATTCTTTATAAGCATAATTAGAAATACATTATTTTACGTGCATTTTTAATATACAATTTAGAAATTTTTGATACAGTAACATTGTTCTTGTGAATGACCTGTTTTTGAAGTCTCTCAAATCTATTCCACATGTATTTCAATTTCATTTATTAAAACCTCAGATTTTTAGACAAGTCAATTATCTTATTCCTCCCATAGCTACAAAAAGAGTAACATTTCAAGTAACAATTATTTCAAGTATCAATTATTGAGTTTCAAGTAACAATAATTGGGAATTGCACATCTAGATAAAAATTAGGTCTATCTCAGTGTAGTGGGAGGCTAGGTTTGTAAAAGTGTTGCTTTCTATTCAAATAAGTTCAATGTAGTTTTGTACTTTTTCGGAGTAATAGTACAAAAGGATACTCCAGTTGTACTGAAGACTTATTAAAATACATCAGAATGAAAACTCAATCAATATGATCAGAAATTGAAGGAAGCAGAAATTTTTTTCACTGATGACAATTTTAAAGAAAGTTTTTTGCAGACCTAAAATTAATAATTTAAAAATATTTATTAAATGTTAAATTATCTAACAGAGCAAAAGATGGAATGATAACTATAAAAATAGTATTGCAGACAGTAACTACTAATAAATCTATTTATAGAAATTTTAATGCTGTCCTTTTCCTCCCTTCAAAAATTACAAGCACCATATAATTGTTCCTCTTGATTTTCAGGCTGTGAAATTAATAAAAAGAGGGGGGAATACCCAGGTAAATAAAATAAATGAAATTCCAGTATTTTCCCTGACGCCTGTAAATTTGAATGTGCTGTAAACCAAGCTTTCAAAAATCAGTGATCATTGTGAATTTCTTTATTTAATTTAACAGTAATTTTATCTGTTCTTACATAGACTGGGTGTATATGTTGCCGTTTGCAAAAATTTTGTGTTTATTCAGTCTTCGCTTACTTTTTTAATTCAATCTTTTTATTTTAATAATCAGAGGTTATTCATTCTTTTTTCTACACTTCTTATATATTGTATCATTTTAGTTCTTTCTAATGAAGATGCTATAAGATTCACATCTTCAAGAAGAGAAAAAACAGCTGTTTATTCTGGGCGCAGAAATGCTTACTTCCTAGGTAAGCAAGGCAAGTAACATTTTTGTTCTTCTAATTTTTTAGCTAGTTTATAATTTTGTATTTTGAATTTAAAATGTGGATTATTCTGATAACATTTTATGCTGTATATTGTCTTAACACCTTATGAGTCAATGTAACAAAATGAAATTTGGTATGATTTTAAATTAGAAATGATACTTAGATTAATTGGACATTAACTGTAGAAGCAGCTTAAGAAGTGGTGCATATTTTCTTCACAAAATATTAAATCTGATTTGTATGTCGATTCACCTGAATTACTTTTTGCCCAGTTCTCCATTCCCCTTGACACCTGCAAATGAATATATTTCTCCCACTCTCCTTCTGTCTCAGCCCCACATACCAGATGGAAAGAAAAGATAAAAGTTTCCCATATCCTCCCTTTGGTTTCATCCCTCAGGGCCTCACTTCTGTGAATACGGGTGTGGCAATCCTGAGGTACCCTAGCCCTTCAGGGGATCATCTTCTTGGTGAGATGGGTGTCATGATCCTGGAGCCCCAGTCTTCTATCCTCATTTCTGTTTCCTCTTGGCTGGAACTTTTTCCTTTCCCTTCTCCCTTGTGGTTTTCCTCTTTGGAGGTTGGGGCTCATCATCAAATGCTATTACAGCTCTTGTATTCGAGTGGCAAGAAAACTGCCCATGTGTTTGCTGTGATGGAGACCCGTGTCGCTGGAAAGGAGGGTTCTGGTAGTTGAAGTGCGAGGTACTTGCCCCAACACACTGCTTTGGCTTCTGCTTCAGCTAAACAGGAGGCATCTTTCATCCCTACGGTTGTCAATCGGCTGGTCACTACTCCTTGTGTCAGTGGCTTGGGGATAAGCTTTCAGGAGTATCTGCTTTCAGAAAAGCTGACTGTGGGGCTTCAGTTTGCTTATAGGTCTGGTTATCCCTAACACAGCATTCTGTGTTCCCTTGTTGGGCTCCATGGTGGACAGGGCAGTTGGACCTGAATCTTTTCTCTTTCAAACATAGCCAAATCATATTTAAACACTTCAACTGAACATAATTATGCCTCCAAAAAAAGCGAAAACAAGTGAAAATACTAGTGTTAGTTTTACCTAATAGTCAACTTCGTTTTATAGTCATAAACAACTCTATACCAGGCAAATTAAAAATATATCACTCTTTCTGATTCAAAAATATGTACAGTCTTGGGCAGGAGAACCAAAAAACGTAAAATGACTGCATGAAATTTGTTTCTACCAGTCAATCTACAGCTCTTCTTTCCTTAACCAAACTTGGGAGTGGGGAAGTCTCTGCCTCAGTGCATAAGACACTAAATTATTGCTGAAGAGTGATTTTCTTTCTATCTTGAATGAGGAATTAGTCTCAAGATGAAAAAAAAAAAAATAGTCTCAAGATGCATAAAAAAATTATTCTCAAGATGCATAAAGAAAGTCAGCTGATTGATACAAAGCACGTTATCCTGTCCTTCAATACGCCTGATTTGCCAAAGAATATTAAGGCCGGTTACTTATGGTGCACTGTAAGACCTTATATTCCAAACCCAATGCAGTGTTACCAGTGCCAGCGTTTTGGCCATTCGAAGTTAACCTGTTATGTTAGCTCTACATGTACTCAATGCTCTATGGTGGGCCATGACTGTGAAAACTGCATTGCTGAGCCACTGTGTGTAAACTGCAAGGGAAACCACACCATATTTTCTAGATCCTGCCCAAAGTGGAAAGCTAAGAAGCAAGTTCAGGTCATCAAGGTAACGCAAAGGATTTCGTATCCAGAAGCTAGAAAAATAGTGTCAAGCATACAGCCAGAACAAAGCACATGATATGCTAAAGCTGTTAAAAGCATTAAATCAATAGCGACCCAAACAGATATCACTATGCAGAAAAAAGCTTCCCTGGTAGGAACCAAAAATTATCATTCCCAAGGACATAAAAGGATACTAAAGAAACAACAAATACAAAAACGGCACGAAAATTGGAAAATAAACCAAATAAAATACTAACAAACCAGAGCATCAGCTGTACTGAATACTGGAGCCCTGAAGGCATACATTCCGAGATGGATGTGGAGGGCGAAATGGAAATTCCAAGACATCTCCTCCCACGTCTGATAAAATAGCAGCACAGATGAAATAAGCAGTCATAATGGAACTTGGAACTGTTATGGTTTCAACAAAAATCTTGTTGTTATAGAAGAACTAATTAGTGCACATAATCCTGCCTGCTTTGCAGCTCAAGAAACCTTAGTGAAACCTGAGCAACAGCTGAAGCTTCGGAGATATTGTTTTGTCAGAAAAAATCAGCCAGTTAATGAACATGTTAGCAGAGGTGTAGGTTTACTCGCCTCGCTTGATTATTCTTTAAGCATTCTCCCTCTTTCAACTTTCGTCCAAGCTTTCAACTTCCTCCAAGCTGTGCAGGTTAGTACATGAAGGTTAATTTCAGCATGTTCGATATACTTGCCTTTCAGCAAACGCATTGAGCAGCAGGACTTAATATAATTGAAGAGCTGCCTGTTTCCTTCATTTTTCTTTGCGATTTCAACGGTCGTAATCCTCTTTGGGGAAAGTAAAGACAAAAACTTGCATAGTAGTCAATTTGAAGAAATGATCAATGACCATTCTCTTTGCCTCCTTAGTAACGGAGAACGTACTTCCACCAGCCTACGAGGACCTTTCACAGCATTGACCTCGCTACCTGTTCACCATCTCTGCTTCCATTTTGCAAGTGTAATGTTGGAAATAATCTACATGACAGCGATCATTTTCCTATTTTTATAACTTTTGCAGATAAAGAGGTAACTATTTCTAGACCTGTACGCTTCATTCTGGGGAAAGCAGATTGGGATCTTTTTTCCTTTTATGCAGAGCTTACAAAAGAAATATTGAGTGATGTACCAATAGATAATGCAATGGAAACTGTTACCGAGGTCAATTATTCACACAATAAACTGCTGTATTCCTCTCTCTTCAATGAGATTACAAAAATACCCTAAACCATGGTGGAGCAGACAGTGCAAAGAGACTCTTAAGACTGCAAAGAAAAGCTTGGGGAAAGTTTTGCCGGTATCCTACATTGTCTAATCTTATAGCCTTCAAAAACTGTTCAATTTTACAAGTGTAATGTTGAAACTGCTTTCATTTTGCAAACTGCAAACTCTTAAGACTGCAATGAAAAGCTTGGAGAAAGTTTCGCTGGTATCCTACTTGTCTAATCTTGTAGCTTTAAAAAAGCCAAAGCAAATGCACAGAGAGTTAGAAGACAGAGCCAGAGGGGACTCTTGGGTATCCTGTGTATCAACAATCACATCCTTTACATCAAGTAAGTGAGTGCTTCCATTTACATTTCAAGTTTCAGTCATTCTGTTGACTAGTCATTTCATCATCATCATCATCATAAACATATTTTTAATATTGGTTTTACCTGTATGTATTGAAAACTCTCACCATTCATCTGGTGCATTATAGCCTTTTATGCGCCATGAAACTCGCAAACTCACTCACCCTTTGGTTTCTTAGCTCATTAATCGGGATGCATAATTTTCATATTTAAGAAATGAAAAGGAAATTTAGTATTAACAGTTAAAGGCAAAATATTTATGTATTTAAAGATAATATATTTAATTCACCTGACTCTCGCTGCCCCGCAACTTCCCAGAAATAGGTATTTAAAGATAATATACCGTAATTTCCGGAAGAAAGGCCACATCAGCGTAAATGCCGCACTCGAGAAAAATGGTGGGAAAAATTAAAATTACACAGAAACGCCGCAATAGATTAAATTGCGCGTGACATCGTCGTAGGCCGTATAGATGCAAAAACTCAACCTAAGTCCTGATATATGACATACCAGTTAAGAAAAATGCATGAAATGAAACCATAACTCAAAAATAAATTAAAGGTAAGAAATGTGTAGCTTCTGTGCGGTTTAGAGTTAGAGACATTTTCAAAAATTTTCCGCTCCCTTCTTACTTAAAAACTATCCAACAAGTACTTGTACCCAAAATGATGGGGATCTGTATTTGGCAGAATGCCAAGAAAAATCTATTCATGCTGAAAGGGTAATACGTCAGAGTTCGTCATTGCGAGGCAGGTGGAGTCGTGTCCGCCTTTGAAAAAAATTGCAGAAAAGGCAGGGGTGAGGAGAGGATGGGTCCTGGAAGATTCATCGAATCACAGAGGAAAGAGACTATTCAAACTGATGAGAATGTTGATTTGAAAGGGGGAAGAATGTTATTGTTCTGAGATCTCATTTAGGGTGAATAAGGCATGTAGGTCCGTTCAAGGGTTGGAATGTAAACAAAATAATGTTCGCAAAAAGCAACTTAGTGGTCTTTTGTGTGGGAACAGCACCAGTCTATGCACAATGACAAGGCCATCCAAACTATGTACAATGACCATCATAGGAAATATTTTATTTTCAGTGCACCTAAACGCCGCACCCGCTGAAAATTTAAGTTTTAAACACGTAAACGCCGCGGCGTTTCTTCCGGAAATTACGGTACTTAATTCACCTAACTCTCACTGCCCAGCAAATTGCCAGATATGGACTCAAGTCTCTACCTCATGCTCATTCACCTCCTGTGATGTATCTACATATTTGCCCCATCGTCATCTCACTTAGCCAGCTTAACCATGTCACAGACTGTAATGAGTGCACATTTCTTTTTGTTTCATTTTCTCAGTACAGTAAACAAATTATCGGAAATTTTCATCAATATGGATCATCAGAAAAATTAAATAACTGACAGATTAAAATAGTTTGTACAAGAGAGTTTAAATTTACAAAACACATATCGTTATGTATAAGTATTGCACTTTCAGAATCTAACCAGATTGTAAAGGCAGCTATTCAAAGCCTTCGTAGTCCCATAAATGGCATAGATACTGAGAGGTATTTTAGTGTCTATAACATCGTAGTTATGGATAGGAGACAAATTTAATGGAGCAAAGCTTTCAATTTTTTAACACATTATTTTAATAGTTGATTCCAGTAGTTTCAAAAAACAGCGATTGACATCTCTCCC